GTTTGCACATGACACCACCCTCATTGGGCTCATCTCAGGTGGGGGCGAGTCCGCCTACAGGTGGGAGATCGACCATCTGGGGACCTGGTGCAGCCAGAACAGTCTGGAGCTCAACGCTCTGAAGACAGTGGAGATGGTCGTGGACTTCAGGAAGAGCCCAGCCCCACCCTCCCCCATCATCCTGTGTGACTCCCCAGTCACCACTGTGGACTCCTTCCGCTTCCTGGGCACCATCATCTCCCAGGACCTCAGGTGGGAGCTGAACATCACCCCCCTCACCAAGAAGGCCCAGCAGAGGATGAACTTCCTGCAGCAGCTGAAGACGTTCAGCCTGCCAAAGACAATGATGGTGCACTTCTACACCACCATCATTGACTCCATCCTCACCTCCTCCATCACCATCTGGTACGCTGCTGCCACTGCCAGGGACAAGGGCAGGCTGCAGCGCATCATTCGCTCTGCAGAGAAGCTGATTGGCTGCAATCTTCCTTCTCTTCTGGACCTGTACCCCTCCAGGACTCTGAGGCGAGCAGGAAAGATTGCAGCTGACTCCTCCCACCCCGGACACAAACTGTTTCAGACTCTCCCCTCTGGCAGGAGGCTGCGGTTCATCAGGACCAAAACCTCTCGCCACAAAAACAGTTTCTTCCCGTCTGCAAGTAGCCTCATCAACAAGGCCCGGGTCTCCTACTGACTCTCTCCCCTTGCAAATGATACAAATGTCTCTGCACATGTAAATACTGTTTCATCTCGTGTCGGGCTCAGACCTGGCACGTCGCACATATTTGTTGTTGATTGTTGATCTTTGTTGTTGTATATTTATGTTGTCAGTTTATATATATTTATATGTACACAATATTCTCTTCCGTTGCGTTACTTCTGCACGGCACAGACCCACAATAATGCACATGTATATATCTGTAACGTTGTTCTTCCATTCCATATTTATTATATTTCTACATTTATTTATGTTGACTGTATGTTTGTCTACGTGTAGCACCTTATCACCACAGCAAATTCCTCGTATGTGTAAAACACTACTTGGCAATAAAGCTCCTTCTGATTCTGATTCTGAAGAGAAAAATGTCTTCTAGTATCTTCAACCAAGTCCATTTGCCCCGATTTTAACCGTCTATGACCTGCATGACTGAGAACCTTCACAGACAATATAACGCAGTATCCATGGGGCGGTACTGTGGGACACCATTGTGTCCCTGAGCAAGACACTTAACCCCTTGTTGCCCCAGAGGCGTGCGACCTCTGACATGTATAGCAATTGTAAGTCGCTTTGGATAAAAGCGTTGCTTAAAGGAAATGAAATATAATCCACCTATCAGCCACCATGATAGAGGCCTTGTTTTGTCACAAAGTGTGTCTGCCGGGTTTTGTCCCAAAAATGGTGGTGAAATAAGAACAGTCAGACGTGTGAACGCTGCAGATACTCCTGTAAGGAGAGATGAAGTGGGCGGCGCGGTGGTACAGTGGTTAGCGCCGTCATGGCTACATGAATGTTGTTGTATCACTGTTTTGATTCTTCCTGATGCTTTGTACTGGTTTGCTGACGCCATACTGCGTTTGAATTTCATAAGCTGTCACACGTGGCCAGGTGACTGCACGTGAAAATCATGTGCTGTCCTTTAAATGAAACGCACTTCCATCTGTGTCCACTGGGCGACAGCAGAGGATAAACTGAGGTCTCACTCATTTCATGTTCGCTCCAGTCTGTTTTTTCATGTGAAGAAGGTATGTCTATGTTGTAAAGCGCTTTGAGCTGCGCTTCTTTGTATGCAAATAAAGTTTAGTGTTATTATAAGAAGAAGACATGTCACAGAGATATGACACAGATTAGTTTCCTGTCTCTCTCTCTGTCTATTCATTTCAGTTCATTGAAGCTTTATCTGCATGAAGTTTTGATCAGAAAACATGCTGTCAAGGCAGAGCATGAGCATATTCCAACTGTTTTATCCCTTTTCCTCATACTTGATATGTCTTTCCTTGTCATTTGTACCATTGTAACCACGTAAAGTATATTTATACCCTGTATTAATTTAACTATATACAGTATACCATGCATCTGTTGCACAAAAATGTCCTTTGAGAAGAATAAAGTGAAAAAGTTTTTTCTTATGGCTTCTTATTTTATCCGTTATAGTTAATAATATTGATAATAATGATAGTTAAGTGTTGAATGTTTTGTGCTTCTTCAGTAGTTATACTGGTAAACATCTGTTAATAGCCTGGCCTTTATTTGCTTTGCTGAACTCTCGCAGCCATGTATTTGGGACAGGCGTCTCTATCAACCCATTCTCATCTTAACTCCAATATGGACGCTTGGTCAGACCCCTTGGCGTTGCTTTTCAACGCCCTGGGTAGTCGTTATTGCATATGTAGGGCTCCGCTGTCAAGTTAGCAAGAATCAATGTGCAACATCTAGTTACACTTTCAAAATACAACTAGTGTTAGTTAATCTTATAAAAGCTTGCAGTTTGGTTTGGCTCAAAATAACTTGCGTGACTTAATTGAAAACTATCACTGTTGACTTTTTCTTTCACACAGGAAACAAACACCAGTCTCCTGGATGGAAATCTGGTTTCTGACCCACCCCTCCACCAAAACCACCTCCTTACTCACTCTTTTCTGTTCTTTATAATAGGTCTACCTTCAGCGTTGAGCAGTGACGCTAAACGGCGCCATGTGTATTGGTACCAGACGCCGAAAGACGTGACAAAGCGTAGGTCGATGACCTTCTGGGAATGAGAACGGATAGCATATCAATTACAAATCATTCATTTGATTTAGCTCGGAGAGACAGCCCATCCAGGCCAATGCCGAGCTCATAAAATGAACCGAAAGATTGAATTGTGGAGAATCTAACTGATCCAACAATACGAAGCATGTCCATACTGACAAGTTTGAACGTATAAATTTAGATGTGCAGTTTAAGCAGCTTAGAACTACCTAACCGCCAGCAGGGGGCGACTCCAGCGGCTGCAGAAAGAAGTGTGATTGTATAGAAGTCTCTGAGAAAATGTTTCTACTTGTCAGCTGATTTATTCCCTCAGTAAACACTTTCCTGATGAGTTTCTGGTCTCAGTCGCTAGTTTCAAGTCTTCTTCAACACAGCGTGATGTTCATTTAGTAAATTATGGTCCCATTTAGAGGAACAGAGACCAGGAAGCAGGGAAGGCTTTAGTTATTATGTTAGCCTCCTGTCCAAACATGGTCACGTCTGGTTCCAAAAAAACAAGAAGGATGACAGTCAAAATGCCAAATTTGAGATTTCAAAACTATAGTCCACAAACCAACGGGGGACGCCACAGCGGCTACGTCCACTTCTTTTATGTAGGAATGTGTAGCCGCACCAGACCAGTTAAAGGGACAGGCGTCTAATTGGGACTAACGTTTAAGTTTTACGGTATGTTCTTTTTCCGCAGAAGCAGTCGCAGCCTTGTGAAAATGTCCTGAAACACTGATTATTAGATCAAGGTGAGCGTTTTCAGCCATGAAGTCTACAGTAAATTACATCTTACGTCATCCTGTCTAAACACAGCAGGAAGACGACGGATCAAACATTCAGAACGGACAGAGAGACGGTGGATGGAGAAGAGAGTGAGCACAGGAAAGAGAGGAAGGGAAATATAATCAAGAGAGAAAATATGTACAAAGATGAAAAGAAAGGAGGAAGCAAAGGGGCTGTTAAACTTTCACTTCCAGCCTCTCGTTTCCTATCTAAGAGGAAAAAGACTAAAAGAAGCGTTGTTTTCTGCAGTGTGCAGCTTAGAGTTTATTATAAATACAGAATATATTGTGTGTACAGAGCTGGCAGAGAGTAAATCAGTCATTCACACAGGTGTGTGTTGTTCATTCATTACGGTCACTGTTGTTAAAGGCAAATGTTACGTTTGCTGAAAAGAACATTATGACTTCTACAGCGACGCAACCTTTTGATCCAAAAAGGAAAATAAAACTGTCAGTGTCCAGTCAGTGTTTTTAGAACACAAACATTCAGCCGAAAGAGAGAAACACAAACCAAAAGGCGGAACTGTAGTCTAACTAAGTATAATAATCTGAAATTTCGAGAATTAAGTCAAAAGATTATTAAAAACTTGTAATATTTGGAGAATAATGTCGCAGTAGAACAGGCTGCTGGGAGTCATATGTGCTTGTTTTAGTGTTATTTAGACTTGTAGAAAGTTTGGACTGCACTTTGCTGAAGTTCACATTTATTTGGTCTGTCAGACGGTCTGAAGGAGAAACTGCCTGGCTGCTGCACAGCAGAGTACCGGGCAGATGGACTTTTTATTTGAAATATTCTGACTCTTTTCTGCACCTGTCAGAGAACACAGATCTGTGGGAGAGAACATGAGCAGAAAAGCTGCTGAAACTCTATTAGAGTCCAGGAGTTTGTAACTGAATTCAAATGAAAAGGAGCCCTTTAGAAGAGGTTTCTTCCCCAAACAGAGACACAAAGAGGAGGGAAGACTGAATCATGACGCAGCAGGGTTGATGAGAAACAGATCTGAGAGCAGCGCTGACTTACATTCTGTTAGAGGGTTTGAATTAACCTGCCACTGACTTCAGCTACATGAATAAAAACATTTCCACAATAAAGTGGTTCAGAAAAATCCAGAGCAGTGTTTAAGGCTCCCGGAGCCCCGCCCTCTTTGTGGCCTGTTTAGGACTCGAAAATCAGGGGATTCAGGTTCACAGCTGCCGGTTGGTATTCATGACTGTCATCTCGCAGCTGCCTCGGGATTAACTGTGACCTGATTGGCTGAATTTGTGCAGAAAGCTGAAAGGTGAGTTCAGTCTGAGGGAAAACAGGAGATCTGGTTTCCTCTCCGGTGTTTGCTCTGCTGAGAGTTTAGATAAAGTCTGCAGGGACAGTGTGTGCGCGTGTGTGTAGTAACTCACATAAAGTTAATATTTATTTTGTCGACCGTGAAATGCATCACAAATGTGTTGGAGGTGGGGGGGGGCAGAGAGAGAGAGCGAGAGAGAGAGAGAGAGAGAAAAGGCCGGCAGACAGAGTGTGAGCAGTGAAGAGACAGGAGGCTCCTAGATGTTCTCTGATAGTCATTTAAACTTACTCATCATCACCTTCTTCATCATCATCCTCCATGGCGGTTCTTCCTCTGCGGGTGAAAATGCTGCGGCAGCTCTGGAGGTTGAAGGGCGCCGTCGTCCTGGTCTGCAGCCCGTTCATCCTGCTGCCGCTGGCTGTCAGCACCACGGTGAGACCAGTTCAGCTTTCATTTCCCAGTCTTACCAGTCTAAATAACCAGTCAGCTGAAACCTCACCAGTTTGTATATATGTTTATTATAACACTTTACAGTCTACTAACCAGTTTAAATGACCAGTTTACTGAACACTGACCAGTTAAACGTACCAATATTACAAATAGCTGATATTGTAAATGAAAACTATATACTGGAAGACTTTAAAATTAAAGGTTTGCTGAACAACAACCTGTTAAAGTTACCAGTTTATGGAGCACTAACACTGACCAGTTCATGTTACCAGTGCAGACCAGTTTAAATGTACCGACTGATATCATAAATTAACCAGTTACACAAACTTTCCTGCCATCTGTCCAGTCTGCTAAAGTCTAACCACTCAAATAAACCAGTTACTTATAAATACTCCAGGTAACAAAACCAGTTTATTGAAAACCAACCAGTGAAACTAACAGGCCTCAACCAGTGAACCAGTTCACCACTAACTGAGCACCAGCAGAGGGGACGGAGGACGAAGAAGGACTCTGAGTTACAAGTGAAAGTCCTGCGTTCAAAATCTAGGATACTTAAAGATAAATGCGTAATGAGTATAAGTACTTATAATAATAATAATAATAATAATATATGTTTCATTACTGTCTGATAATTATTGACGCATTCATGTGTTCATCACTTTAATGTTGCCGCTGACGAAGATGGAGCTGATTTTAATGAACTGCTGTCTGATTTCCATAATGATTTATGGTAATTTATTAGTTTGTATTAATATTCTGAATACGTATAAATTAGCTTAAAATGGAAAGACTTAGTTACATGGCTGACCAGTTAAATGAACCAGTTTACTGATGATTAAACTGGTTTAGAGCCTCTGGTTGCTGCTGGTTTGTTTGGGCGTTACGAGCACAGCTTCCCGTCACTGATTGACTAACAGAGTCTGGACGGGTTAAAAGTTCAGTTCATAAGTTACTCAGAAGAGAAATCTTCACAGAAAAACAACACGTCAGAGTTCAGAGCAACGTTCACCTCCTCCCCCCCCACATTACTGGATACATAAGTATCCTACAGACGGAGGAGGAGGAGGCGGAGGAGGAGGAGGAGGAGGCGGAGGAGGAGGAGGCGGAGGAGGAGGAGGAGGAGGAGGAGGAGGAGGAGGAGGAGGAGGAGGAGGAGGAGGAGGAGGAGGAGGAGGAGGAGGCGGAGGAGGAGGAGGAGGAGGCACTCTGACCGTCAGTCTTTCTCTATTTCCAGCACCAACATTTCTTCTGGCTGCCGCTCATCTCACTGAACTAAAAATTTCCTCTGTTTCATCACAATTCTTTTAAATTATTTGATAAACATTTAAAATAAGCTGTAATCTTTTTTTCAGTTTATATATATATATATATCTGTATATTTACATTAAAGGGAGCCTGAAGATAAGTTTGTTTATAGTTTTTGGTTAAAGTAGTAAAATGCTAGATTAGTATGTTTATGCCCTTTAGTTTTGCTCTATATAAGTTAGATGTTGGTTAGACTCTATCAGAAGCTCACATATGCTCACATGCATCTCACCCCATGTGGAAAATGACTTTTCCCTAAAAATACATTTGATTAAATACAAATTAATTTGTCAGCTGTAGCTGTATAATATGTTGCCCTGAGCATGGCCTTCTTAAAGAAACAAAAAATCAATAAAACTTTCTTTAATGTGTCAGAAAATAGACATTTAGCTGGGGGGGGGCGTTTTACCCCACTCTACCCAGAACGGCCCATTTCCAGCTTTTCCCGATTGCTAACACACAAAATGCAGAATTTGGCCGGTTGTGTCAAATCTGTACACCCAAGCCAAACACAACAACAGCAGGAGAGAAACGTCTGACCTCTGTGTCAGAATGAGCTCCTGCGATCAAAACCTCACGCTTGTTTTTCAGAAGGATCAATAAAAACACGTTTGCAGGATCGTTCAGTGAATCTACTCACATTTCAATAAACGCGCCAAGATTTAAATACCGTGTGGCGTGTCGCGTCCAGCCGTGGACCCCACCTGAGGGTCTGTGGTTGGCGGTGAAATGCCGTCCAACGCCACGCTGAAAAGCTCAATCAGACTGAGAAATGGGGAGTAAAGGGGCAGCTCACCTGAGGTGTGTGTGCGGCGCTACAGCTCTGACTGGTCGCTGTCTTACTGTTTTCTCCGTGTGCTCCCTCCTCACTGAACCATTACGTTAAGTCTATTCACACTTTACCCTTTCTGCCACATTTCTCTGGTCACACTTCTTTAAGTCTAAACACTTCAGTATTTGCGTGACTGTCACGTCGTATCAAACTCATGGAACACATCTGAAATTCTGGCCGATGTCGTAGTCATTGGTTCATGAAAACCTTTTTATAAAATTCCTCCCTGCAGGATTCAGAAGGTTGATAGTATTTGATGGTTTTTGTGTGTAATTGAAATGCAAACTTTGGTTTCTATGGTTTACTTTTGGGTCAGAAGTCAAGGGTTTAGAGAAAAAACAATTTGTGTTAGCAGTTTCAAGTGTCTTAATTTCAGTTCTTGAACAGAGTGTGTAATGTGCAAAGCTGATAATGTGTGTGTTCTTTCGGTGTGTGTGTGGAAGGCACGGCTGCTGTTTTCATGCTAAGCTGTGAGTGTGTTCGCCATCTGGAACAAAACCTGCATGTTGCAGCAACACATCATCATTTCTTATATAAAGTAGCAGAAAATGGAAAGTAAAAAGGTGTGTGTGTGTGTGTGTGTGTGAGACTCTGCGCAGGTTTCTTTGTCTTCACATAAATGAAAGTGTAAACAGAGTCAGAGTCCTCCCAGGAGCCTCTGGGGCCCTGCCAGGCGAGCTGCAGGGAGAAGAATCTCTTTCACAGGTCATTTCACCTCATTGTTATGCTCTCCCTGATCCTCGCTGCGTTCTCACGCTCACCCCGTGCAGCTCCACGTGTGTTCTCCTAAAAATCTGCCTTTAAGGACAAAAACATGGCTGTGGAGAAACGTGTAAATGCTTCATGGCTCCAGTCCGGGACGCCGCAGAGAAGTCGTCCATCTCCTCCCAGCAGTGGAAGAAGTACTCAGATCCTTTACTGAAGCAAAAGTATGTAGGTAGTTTTAGTTAAATGTACTTACAGCGAAGTAAAATAGTTTCACTATTATATCTTCGGAGGCAAGTTTGCGTTTGCAGAAATATTCAGTTAAAAAGTGTTTAAAAGAAATAAATCATGAGCTGAGCGGCGTTACGCTGCAGATTATAGATGGAGGCTGTGTTGCCTTCAAATGAGAGACTTTCTACAGTCCAGCTGTTTTTCACAGAGTGGATGTACAGTACGAGTTCATGCCTTTCATTTTTTCATCAAGCAACATTAAAATAACAACCGAAAACAAAGAACTTACTACTTTTACTTCACATAGTGGTGGTGTCGTCTCAAATCAAACACCTTCTCGCTGCACAGCGTCGTTTAATGGTGATTTATAACCAGCCGGGTCATTATCAGAAACATCTGACTGCGATCGCTGCCCGCCAAAGTATCTGCTGGCTTATTTGCTCCATCCATCTTATCCTGCGTACAGGGTCGCGGGGGGCTGGAGCCAATCCCAGCTGACATCGGGCGAAAGGCGGGGTACAACCTGGACAGGTCGCCAGTCCATCGCAGGGATTGTTTGCTCACTTGACTTTAATAAAATTTAATTTAAAATTAATAAAAATGAACGATCTTTTACTTTTTTACTCTTTCACAGGTTTTAAAACACGTCGGTGGCCCCTCCCCTTCCGCTACGTAGCCAAGATGGCGACCGTTGAGGGTGAGAACCTTTTTGACCGTTATCACCCTCCGAGTACCCATAATGCATTGCTGCCATACTAGTCAGTGTGAACGCACTGAAAATAGCAGGTGAGAGTTTGAACCGGCTCTGATGCTTCATGTGAAGTCTCTTGACACTGAAGTCACACACAGGGTCGCACATTCCTTCATTTTCCTTCCTAGGAAACGTCTGTAGTTTTGTCCATCGCTCGTGTTGGTCACGGGAACTTTCGCTCCCCGTCTTCACAGCAGATGACTGATCACCTCGAGACTGAAGCTCGGGGTTCTCAGCACGAGTCTGGATCAACACGTCTCTACTTCCCACAAAAACAGCTTTTTGTTTTTGCAGTTGAATGTGGTTTGAATGCAGAGACAGCGAGAGGAACCTGCTCCGTTTGTTTCAGACTGAATCAGATTATTAAATCAGCACTCTGAGAGCCCGACAAATTTAGGGAAACTTCTGGTCTTTATTTCTGAGATTGAAAAGAGTGTGTGGATATTATGGGATGGTTCCTGTCATCTGAGGTGTGAAAGGTGTTAACACCAAAACCCAGAAACGGATTTGATAAATACTGTAAAACTTCAGTGAAAGGCCCCCACCCTGCCTACATTAGGGAAACTCTTGCTCAGCAAAGATGGGAAATAGACTGCTGTCAAAATGTTTATTAACTGTTTATCGCTAACGTATCCATTATAAATCATTAATTTGATCTAGGCCGACCTCGTACAGAGAGAGAGAGAGAGAGAGACCCTAACGCTAAATCTGAATCGTTCCCATAAAATGAACTGAGCGACGTGTAGCAGGTCCACACTGACAAAACTTTCAGTCTTTAGGTTTGTATGTGTGGTCTAAGCAGCTCATGTGGGCGACCCGCTGGGTTTCAAGAACTTCTATAAAAACCAGATCAGGCGTCTAATTGAGACCTGTGCAGCTACACCAGGTCAGAATTAGGGGACAGGCATCTAAATGGGGCGCTGCTTTACGGTAAACGCTGCCGAACATGAAGCTTTACATTTTTACATTTTTCTGACACTTTTTTATCCAAAGCAACTTACAGATATCAGAGGTCACACGCCTCAGGAGCAACGAGGGGTTAAGTGTCTTGCTCAGGGACACAATGGTGGACGGGTCACAGTGGGGGATTGAACCCGGGTCTCTCACACCAAAGACAGGCGTCTTACCTCCAAGTGAAGACCTGGTGTGTGTGTGGAGTGAAGAGGAGGCTGTAACCTTCCTCACATCAACACAGGAAACTAAGTGATACGTCTGTCGTTGTCCAAGAATCTGCATCAACCTGAAATGTTAAGTGTGTGAGTGTGTAGGAAGCGGCCTGTGCTTATGTCATAGCCCTCATGGCGGTGTACTGGTGCACTGAGGTGTTGCCGCTGGCGGTGACGGCGCTGCTGCCGACCATCCTGTTTCCCGTCCTCGGCATCATGGAGTCCAAAGACGTAAGACTGGACACACACACACACACACACACTATACTACACTCTGTACTACAGCCAGTACTACAACTACTGCAGTATGATACAGTCTTAGTAACATTGCAGACACATTGTAGATATACATGTTATACTTCATTTATCCTCCTTTCTATTCAGTCACAAGTCCTTTTAGGCAAGTCATGCCACTCGGCCGCCATCTTGGCAACGCCTCCGGGCAGCTATTTCGACTAACAATACCAGGCTCCTGTCTGAATGAATGGGGAGAGCGCCAGAACCGCACTACATAAACAGAATCAGCATTAAAATCTGATAAAAATCGCTGAAAAAGTTTGACAACTTTGCCCCAAAATAAGGTTTAAAAAGCGTTTTTTCCCGATCAGTTCTACTTCTACTACGCATGCGTCACCACTTCCATGCGCAGTAGAAGTAAAACAGACCCTTACGTCAGTGGAGCCACATGATTGCCTGAAATGTTTCCCACTTTGGAAGTTTAAAGCAGACGATTGGCTTTCTAGCGGGAGGGGCGGGATAATCCCCCCGCGACGTGTTGCACTATCGGGGTTTGATCCATCCGGTCAGTAACATTTGGAAAGTCTAGAAAAGCCACACAATTGTTATTTCACCCCCATTCAAGTTAGTAGAGGGTTAAACAGGAAGTTAGCCGGCTCCACGGCAGAATACCCCCCCGCCAACCAGCGTTTTGGCGGTCTAACCGCAGAGCAACACGGATGCACACGTTCGCTGGCGACGCCATAGGTATCTGTGTCGAGCCCCTGCAGGAGTATAAATCCAGCGCCGCTTCTCTGCTTTTGATTCTACGAGTTAGTTTGGGGGCCGGTGAATAAAATTGTTCTGCGAAATCTTAGCTCCACCAGTGTCCCCGAAAACATTTAGTCACACTCGACAAATTGGTGTCACTCTGGAGCCCTGTGGACGTGGTGGCTGTCATGGTTCCTGGCAGGGACGCTGCTGTTTTATGCTTTTGGGTCTTGACATAAAAAAGATTTACTAAAATCTAAAGCTGCGTGCACGCTGCAGGCCTCGCCGCTCACTTCAGATCTAGTATGACGTCAGAGTCGCACTCCGATCTGTCCGTCCTGACTGAGGTCGCATTTCGAACAATCAGACCGGTATCTGATCTAAACGGATCAGACTTCAGAGCCGCGTTTCCACCAAAAGTACCCGGGACTTTTAAGCCCTCGGATCTGTTTCCGAGGAACTAAAAGGTTCCTTCAGGCCTCTGTTGTGCGTTTCCACCGCGGTCTAAAGACCTGCGAAGTTCAGGCAGATTAACCAGCTGGCGTAGGCTGTAGGCCTGCACGCCGTCACAGCGACGCACAGGCATCATTACTTGTAACCACGATCCATGAGCAACATTTACAAACGAACATCGGATTTGACTGAATATAATGAAAAACTACAGGCTGTGTTTGACCATTAAAGCAGCTTTTTGTGGGAGTAAAATGAAGAGACGCACGATAAAGTTTGAGCGTCGGAGGAACGAGCTTTATTACCTGCTGTAATCCGGAGAGGAGGAGACCGCCTTCAGCTCTGTGTAGAAACTTCAAACAACCACTCAGGACCCAGTATTTAGCTTCACTCCATCAGCTGTTCGCTGTAAACACACCGCTGCACGCCGGCTGCTGTTTCCCAGCAACACATTTAATACCGACGTTCGATCTCAGGCGACGTCGGCGAGACTCGTGCGGCTCTCTGACTGCTGGTTGTGATTTATTGGTTTGCAAACAACGGCGGAAAAGAAGAGCAGTCGTAGAAAAACAGCCGCCATCCTCCAGTTAAAGCCAGTAGCCTCTACTCGCACATTCAGAAGTTCACTGCAAGGCAAGCCCCGCCCCCCCCAAAGTACCAGTACTTTGGGAAAGTACTACCCCCCGAGCAGGGACTCTTTGGGGTCTTTATTGCACCCCCCAGAGCTAAATGTAGACCCTGGTCCCTCCGGTGGAAACGCAGCGCATGTGACCTGTTCACACTGCTCTGCAGTCTGAACGCAGCCTGTTGTCATGATTTGGCTCCGCCCTTGTAAACTGTTTCTGTTGTTGTTCAGGTGTGTATGCAGTACCTGAAGGACACCAACATGCTGTTCGTGGGGGGGCTGATGGTGGCCGTGGCCGTGGAGCACTGGAACCTGCACAAACGCATCGCGCTCAGAGTGCTGCTGCTGGTGGGGGTCCGACCCGCCCTGTGAGTCACCTGATCTCCTGCACAAGTACCCACACAGACTCTGAACAAAACTGTGTTTATTAACACAGAGGTGCGGTGGCGTTATTTAGAAAGCTCACCTGAAAATGACAAATTGTAACCAAATCTCAGGTCTCACAATGAGGTTTTCTTCGTTTGAGGGTGGCGCCGGAGAAAAGGTCACATTGTTACAAAAGCGTTAATTTCCTCTTCAGACTCTGAGTTTGTCAGGATCAGACCTGACTCAACTTTCCACCTGTCAAAAAATTAGGTTTGTACTAGAGTTGTAGTACTCGAGACCGGTCTTAAGACCACTTTCTGATGGTCTTGTCTCGGACATTGAGGACTCTGGATTTTATTTCAAGACTAGAACTCTTGGAATATCAATAATTTGCTTTTGCATCGTCTGATTTATTTGTTAACATCCGAACTTTGATTGGATGTAAAACTTATTGCTTCAAATGCAACCAGTAACCCTAAAACATGTGTTCTCCAAGGTTCAGCTGAAGTTAATATGAGGCTCAAAGATGGTCTTCCTGGCACTAGGCCCCCCCCCCCCCGATCCTGTTTCTGGTTCTCCGGTCTCTTTCGTTGACGAACATCGTGTAACATCATCACCTCTTCCTTTGTCTCCCAGGTTGATGCTGGGGTTCATGGGAGTTACAGCTTTCCTTTCCATGTGGATCAGCAACACGGCCACCACCGCCATGATGGTCCCCATCGTCCAGGCCATCCTGGACCAGCTCAACGGCAACGCAGACCCTGAACCCTCCTCCAAGACCCAGAAAAGCAATGTCGACCTACACCAGGAACATCGGGAGAAAAGCAGCAGCGTCGTGCAAACTGCTGCTCCGAACGTCCTGGAGAACGGTACAATTAAAGCACCAGACCCTCCTAGGTCAGACGTCCTGCTTTAGAAAACCATCCACCAGTGTCTCAAAATTACATCAACATTGGACAAATCTGTAGAGCACAAGTTATTCAGGACCAATGCAGAAAGTAGTAAGTCCTTGGAGGTGGAGGTAGGGGTGGCATGATCCAGGGCAGATCAGAGTTTTTGATCTAATAATGTTCACCTTTTTTAAAAAACTCACAATATCTCCCTAATCTTACCCGAGAGTCCCCCAAACCAGGGGCGGAGTGGCCATTAAGGCCGGTCCATTTCAGGCGGAACCGGCCGGGGGTCAGGAGTTTTAATATATGATCCACGGCAGCTGGCCGGTCAGCTGCAGCGAACGTTGTCTGTCAGTCTGGGCCAATCCGGCCCCTCCCAACTTGGACTGATCCTCGTTTTTGCTGAAATCTGATTGGCTCAACGGCGCCGATCAAAAGAGTTTAGGCCTACTTTCCATCTGGGGCGAGTTTAATCTCCAAGTTTTGTGGCGAAAAGAGAGAAAGGGGATAAAGAAAGTTGTGGTACCGAAAAAATAAGAATTAAGGAGAAATAAATGTAAGAGGCAGCTGAATGCGCCTAATCAACCAACTTCTTGGCAGAGAGGTTTCTGCAGCAGGTGAGGCAGGAACCTGCACAGGCAGAGACGGGTGCTGATTAGGAGGCTAATGCATTTATTATACACTGAAATGATTTATATATGCATTTATGTACAGACATATACATTAGGCTGTATATAAGCGAGGAAGCTCGGGATGTTTATATGTGTATTAGCTGTTAAGGTCAGTGCAGGTGATGCATATTATATTCATGTTTATTACTGATGTTCTTCTTGTGCATGAGTGTGCTGAGCCACGGAGAGGCCTACTCAGACCAGAACCTGAGGGATTAGATTTTTCTGCACACACACACGCACACTGCTGTATTTTATGGGAATGCATTGTAGTTTTTAATTATATTTAAGTATTTTAGCCCTCTGATGAGGAGGCAGCTGTCATCCTTAGCTGTATACAACAAAAACACAAATGTGTATTAAAATAACTACAAAAAAATATTGCGCCCCCAAAGGGAGCTCAGATAAAAGGCCTCTCCAGCTCAAAGCCCCGGGCTGAATTTCAGTCCCAGTACACCCCTGATCCAAACCTCCCTTTCCTGAGCCACGTCTACCAGCTCTGACTGGGGCATCCTGAGGTGTGGAGACATAACCTCTCCACCTAGTCCCGGGTCAATCAGTAATCGTGTTAAATTATCAATAACAATATTGACCAAAATATAATAATAATATAATAATGATTTCAGCCCAACTAGAAGATGAAGTGAAAAGCCTGCAGTCAAAGAAAGAGAGAGAGAGCAGAGATTAAATATGCACTTGAGAATCAGGAACAACTCTTTAGGACAGTCGTTCCTTCACTCAGCTGATAGGAATGTCATCAGTTTACCAAAAACAAGTATCGGACAAAACTTTGACCTGGAAAAGTCGGAGGATCACCAAAGTCTGTGTTCTCTGCAATCCATTTAGATTCATTCATTCAATCTGTAACAGTCCTCAGTGACTTTAAACACTGTGGATTTAGGATGCACTGAGAGTCTGACACTGAACTTCTGAACGTTTCCTTCCAGGTCTGCATGAGAAAACCAGCACCCTACAAGACAACGTGTCCCCTGAGGAGAAGGTTCAGATGGAGAGACAGGAGATGATCAAACCAACACCACAGGACAAGCCTCCATCAGACTACCGCGGGCCTGGTGAGTCCTCTGACTGGTCCTCTTCCATCAGCGCAGCCATCGGTTTCTGTTCAGTTCTGTCAAATATGAAGAGCAGCTTGTCCAGGGACTCCAGGCTACAGTAGAATAACACACCCACAGGCAGGTTCTTTCACCAGAAAGAAGTGTGGAAAAGCTGCATTGAGTTTCTTTGTGAGTTTGGTGGAGTATTCCTTTAAATTCAGATTGTGGTGGTGGATCTCCGTTTGTGCAGGAGACTAGAGTTCATGTTCCATCACAGAACTGCCATTTGCCTTTTTATTCACCATAACCACGATCTTTCCCCAACCTTAACCAAGTGTTATAGATTCCTATCTGTAACCTTACATTAACTATAGTTTATTTGCCCATCTTTCCTCAGCGATGACTGTGTGGTAGTTGTCGTGTGCAGTCACTGCAGGACTGTTCAGAGCTGGGAACTTTTCGCCTCTGGAAACTTTTGTTGGTGCCTTCATGGGTGCTTTGACACCTAACCTTTAGCAATGTGATAAGAGTGCCACAATTTGGTTCAAAAATCAAACTCCTTGAAGAAAAAAGACTTCAGAACGTATGCTTAATGTTTTTCTTCAGTGTCAAAGTAATGCAGTCATATTTATCTGTACATCAGTGGGAAAACTGCAAACAGGAACTGTTATTAGCTGAGTCAGCAGACTTTTTAATGCTGACAATTTGCCAAAATGTGAACAAATAAGGGTTAAAAAAGAGCACATGGTTTTCTAATGGAAGACACAGAATGATTCTGGGCGTTCGCTGTAATGAGATCACAGCCTGCAGGGCTCTAACTTCAGATAATGATGATGAAGGAGAGTCGTGGATGACTCGCACAGTCAGAACTGCGTTTTTTAAAAGTTCACAAAGTTTACAGAAATGAACAGAAATCAAAGGCGGCCTGGAAGAATTCTAAAAGCTGCTGCATGATTTGGAAAAAGTAAAATGACAACAGACTGTGTGGCAGTGGTCGTGTCCGTGGAGAGCGCCTGCTGCCAGATGGAGGTGGAGGAGCTGAGCGACGTGGAGGAGGAGAGGAGGAGGTTCAGTAAAGGGCTGCTGCTGTGTGTGTGCTACGCTGCCAGCATCGGGGGCATCGCTACTCTGACCGGAACCGGACCCAACCTGGTTCTGATCGGACAGATGAGCCAGTAAGAGCCAGTACACAAACACATGAACCGCTGCACAGACAAACTACCGCACCAAGTCACTGAACTTCAAAGTCCAGTACCTGAGTACTTAGTTACTTTCCAGCACTGGTCATCACGGGCTTCCGTGGTGGAAAGTACTGCACTTAGGTTCTGAGGTACAACTGCTTCTACTCCACTACATTAGAGATGAAATTTGCACTTTCTGACCTGCACGTTACTTTACATTTTACAAAACCCAACACATCGTTAAAGATTAAACCAGTGGCTCTCAACCTTTTTGGATTGTGACAAATAAAGTGTCTAGTTGTGATCATGTTTCAGATGTATTGTGTGAGTTGTTAGCAGTTCCACCCAAGAGACAGTTTCCTTCCAAACTCAAGGCCAGAGTCGTACAATGAAATGTGACCTGCAGCCCCCAACCGAAAACTACTTTTTATGGTGAAGCGCAGAGGATGATCCAACCTGAGAGAGTTCCAGGTGCACGGTGGTGCGTGACGACGAAAGAGAACGAAAAACGTGGCTGACTGTGACAAAGTGTGCGCACAGTTGCAGCCTCTGCTCTGCTCTTGGTGTTCATAAAACTTAGGGCTGTTTTTAATAAAAACAAATGTCAAAAGTCCCTAAATGTTGTAGAAGGCTAAACTTGCTAATGTTTTTGGCATTTTTTCCATTTTACTGAATAACGTTTGTGCAGAGAAGATGACTTAGAGATCGTTTACTGTAACCTAGCAACATATTTCTACATCAGTTTACATGCAGAACAGGTTTTACTATGTGATAGTGTGTATTTATTTAATATAAATGCGTGTAAAAAAAGACTTGGTTGCCTTTTTAGTTTACCATTTACAACGGGCGCTGCCATGGTTGTGCGACGTCATTCAGCCGCTACTCATGAAGCAGAGGTACATATAGTTCACAAGTAGGAAATCTGACTTCACGTGGCGTTCCATGATACTCTCTCTAGTTGGAGGTTGGAAATTTCCGAGTTGTCTGGAACGCAGCATTACAGCCTGAGGGAAGCAGCTGCTCTGGTTCAACACTTGGTTTGACACCGAGTCTTGTTTTCTGTTGGTGCAGAAAACCTTCAGCATGTCAGGAGCAAAAGCTTGATGTTGTGCAGCCAGGTTTCAAAAAAACAATGTAGGAACTGGATATCGCAGGAAAGGAGGCTGGGTAGTCGTATAGCTCTAGCTCTTATCCCGGTCTCTTCCCCTTCGCCCAGGGACGGTCGCACCGCTTGCTGGGACACTTGGTCTAAATGGATGTGGGCAGCGACAGCGCAAATATTTTCATTTACATAACTGTTCTAGGGAACGTCTAACACCACTGACCTTAAAATCCAGGTTTTCACGCATTTAGAAAGAATCAGTCCTTAAATTCTTGCATCAGATCGTCACTGTATTTGGAGTAAATTATAATCTTACGCTGATATTTAAGATTAAATTATATGATCTATGATGATGATTTTGCTGAAGAAATGGCTGTACAGCAATCGGGACCTTCAATGAGCAAAATCTCACTACTTAAACTTCTGTTGTGACTTCCTGTCGGGCTCTTCCTCGCAGACTCTTCCCTCAGAACGGAGACGTGATCAACTTTGCATCATGGTTTGTGTTCGCCTTCCCCATCATGGCGCTGATGCTGACGCTGGCCTGGTTCTGGCTGCAGTTCCTCTACGTCGGCTGCAAGTGAGTCTCTTCACCAAAACCCCCAAACACAACCCTTGATTCCATTTGACCTTCCAGTGTGGAAAAGTTACACATCTTCTCATGTTACTGCTTCATTGCACATTTACGATGACAATAAAGTTTCTATTCTGGATGCCTGCGTCCCGCAGACATGCTGCAGAATATCAGCCCGTGTTTTAATGAGCAGATCACTAAATTTACTTTGGCTTTCATTCGTTGCAGCCTGCGGAAGACGTGGGGTTGCGGCGCGGTCCAGTCGGAGAAGGAGCGAGCAGCGTACGAAGTTATCAGAGATGAGAATCGGCGTCTGGGGCCGATGAGTTACGGAGAGGTCAGCGTCCTGGGGCTCTTCATCCTCATGGTGGTGCTGTGGTTCACGCGAGACCCGGGCTTCATGGACGGCTGGGCCACCCACGTCTTCAACGCCAAAGCCGAGTGAGTACCATAAACATAGTATATGTTGCTGTTGTTGCTCAGCCCACACGGACCTGTGAGACACAGATAACTATATACATCCCGATAAAGGTCAATTTATATCCAAGTAACGAGATACCGATAAAGAATCATTTGAAATACTATTATCAATGAAATATTACGGGTTACCGTTGTAGTAACTCGTGATATTTCTCTGCATCATAAAGGTGGGGTAACTTTTGCAATTGTGGAGAAATACAACACCAGAACAAACGCCATGATGTAAAGTGAACAACGAAGCCGCAAGTAACCTAATGTAGCTAACGTTAGCTTGGTTGGGGGTTAGCAAACTGTGGCTAACTTACTTGCTGCTGCAAAGCTAACATGAGAGGACGAGACTGTCCCAGAGCAGCGATACAACTCTCCTGCTGCCATAGCCAACATCACAACCACAGCATGTCTGGTAAGCAGAAAGTCCGTGGGCGAGTTATTAAACGTTCCCTGACACACACATCATGGCTGGAACGGCTGACTCCTCTCTTTGGTATGAGCTCCTCGTTTTTGCTCGCGTGGTCTGAGTCCTCCTCTTCAGAATTATCCAGTTTTAGGTAAACTTCACCGCGGTGCAAACGGTGCAAATAAACGTTAGAGCAGAATTGTAAACGACAGACGTGTTTCTATCGTCAAACGACAGATATCGTCATATCGCACAGCCCTAGACCGTGCGCCGTAATCTCCCATGTTTCCAACCTTTTTGTTTTGCTAACTTTATATTCGTCTGTGACTCTGAGGAATAACTCCACTTCGCTGACAGTCCACACATTTCATTTCCCCCCTGGTCTCCCCTCCCTCGATGTGCCGGCAGCCTACCAGAAACTGGCCTCTGAAATAAATAAAGACAGAAGCTAAAGCCTACCGATCACAGAGTAAAAGTGAACCACCTATTACAGTATTATTGACTATTGAGACTAAAGACAACGACATTAAGGATCAGCAGTGTTCCTGTACAGCTGGTCGGCCTCTGTTCATTATTACAGTCATTAAAAAGCAGAACAGCAGGAAGTTAGCTAGCGTTAGCTAACTAACATCACATTAGGAACGATCCACAGCCGACATGTTTCTGGATTTATTTAGGTTTTGGAAAGAGAATAAATCGTCCTTCTCCTTTCAGCCTCTCTGGGTAGTGACTGTAATTATTACTCCAGGAACAGCGTTTGACCAGATCTTAGAAAAATCCAGCCAGAAAAAGCTCGAAAACGACTCTTTCTGCATTCGAGTCACTGGAGCGCAGCCATGAAAGTGTCGGACCTCAGTTAGAGCGAGTCCTATACTGCGCTGTGATTGGTTAGCTGTGTATTTGGGGCGTGGCTTAGCGAAGGGTCAGTTGGCCCTAAATAAACTGCATTACCCAGGGGGCACAGCAAGATGCTCACCTGTTCCTGCTCTCACCTGATCAGAAGATCGGCTGCCTCTTGTTTAGACATTATTACATGTTTATAAAGTTGCTCGTCAGTGTCAGTTTTGAACCCACCAATCACAGCCTGGAAGGGGCGGGACATTAAAAAAAGCTCAATACGCTAAAGCAAACTCAACGTTGACCTCATTGTTCTGCATGAAAGGTTGTGATTATTGACGAGTTAGCACTTAACAAATTAGAGACTGATCACCGTGCAGACCGTGAAACTGCTGTAACTGGAATAAATATTCTACTAGTGTTCAGCCGTACAGTAAGAAAAAATAATGAATACACTAACTGTAGCAGCCAGTACACACGCCATCACGTGAACTGGGAGTACTGGCACTGGACATCAATAACGCTTGTCGTGGATTAAGATTGTAATGGACTCTGGTAATCAGACCGCAGTTCATTCACTCGTGAATCAGTGCAGAAAAGTTTCCTTCTGATTGGACCTGAAAACATGTTTCCTCTGTGGATCTGGATCTGCACGGTCTGGGCTGTAGTTTGTAGTCACAGGGTGAATCATCCTGTAAACTGCAGTCTGGAGTTCTTTAATGCTGCCTTGTATAAATGTGTGATTTCTGTGTGTGTGTTCAGCGCTGGTCCTGCATTAATGTAAAGTTCAGTTCAGAGGAATGAATGAACCCAAACTGCTGTTTAACTGAGATCTTGCCTCGGGGCCAAAATCCATGAACACACAGGAATCAGAGGTGAAGAACAAACAGAGGAAACGGGGACAAACGGCGTCACATCACCAGCTGAGGGTCTGACCTTTGTAACTGCACGCTTCACCGGGCCGCAGGTCACCGAGGCTTTCCACTAGTGTGCCCCCTTTAAACATCAGCTCATTCTTTACACAAGTTATCTCTGAATTTTGACTGAAAATCAAGTGTTTGCATCACTGCAAAAAAACATGCACTGATTATTGGATCAGAAGTAGAAAGAAGTTTATTGCCATGTAGTATTTTATACATTTACTGTGGTGATTAGGTGACAGACACGAACATACAGCTGATACAAATAAATAAAAAAATATCCAAAGATAGAATAAACATATCTGCAAGTTATAAAAGAATTATAGGACTATGTGTAAAAGAAAAACAAAACAATGTGGCAGGGAGAGGATGTGCATGCGTCATTCCTGACCCTTTCAAACAGCGTGACTTAAGTGCAATTTATACTTCTGCGTCGAATCGACGGCGTAGCCTCTGCGTAGCCCCCTACCCTACGCCGTCGCCTGACGTGCACCTCCTCAAAAATTTAACTACACGTCGAGTCGACGCGGACCGTAAGCTCTGTGATTGGTCGGATGGGTAGCCTCGCAATGTCTCCGAGCTGACAGGAAGTGCCCGTGCTTTGTAGTAACATTTACTAGCGGCCAAAACGGTGGCTGTATGGATCGATATTTTGACCGTCGCAACCAGAGCGAAATGACTCGTTTATCTATCAGAATGTGATCCACTCGGTCAGTAACATTTGAAAAGGCTGCACCAGCCGCACGTTTACAATTTTACCCACATTCACGTTAGCGGAGCGCTAAACCGGAAGTTAGCCTGCTCAGCCAGCAAAAGTCACCACAGTGGACGCTGTAGCGCTGCTGCTGACTAGTGTTTGGGGATGTAATTGCAGAATGGCACGCACGCACCATAGCATAAATGCATGGCTACGTGCATCAGAAGATCAGAAGGAGCTTTATTGCCAAGTAGTGTTTTACACATACGAGGAATTTGCTGTGGTGATAAGGTGCTACATGTAGACAAACATGCAGTCAACATAAATAAATGTAGAAATATATAAATATGGAATGGAAGAACAACATTGCAGATATATACATGTGCAGTATTCTGGGTCTGTGCCGTGCAGAAGTAACGCAACAGAATATTGTGTACAAATATATAAACTGACAACATAAAAATATACAACAACAAAGATCAACAACAAATATGTGTTACGTGCCTGACACGATTTACAATTTACATGTGCAGAGACGACTGTATTATTTGAAAGGGGGAGTGTCAGTGGGGGCCCGGGCCTTGTTGATGATAGATCCTGCCCTCATAGACCCTACGCAGGAGTATAAATGGGCCATTAGGCTTAGGCACTCATAGAGGCGCACCTTCAGCTGAAGGGTACCTTGGGCGTCAAATAACTACGTTTTGTCACTTTTTCTGAAAGCGTTGGTATTGGACGCCCTGAGATGAGAACTAAAATAAATATTAGGGGTGGGAATCACCAGGGGCCCTCACGATACGATATATTACACTCTTAAACATATTGCCATGTTTTGCAAATGACCCACTTACGGTACACTAGATGGGGCTGTTGAGTTTTCTAGTGGACTGAAAAAGCAATAGATTTTATTATTCTAGTACCAAAAAGTTCAATTCTGATGTGCAATTTATATAATAGACTTCATGTGTATCGATACACTATTGCCACAGAAAACATAGCGATACTATGTGGTATCGATTAATTTCACCCCACCGCTAACAAATATATATATATAAAATTGATAAAATGTGAGACTATAAAAGAGGAACAGCCGCTGCAACACACAGAGAGCTAGTTCTAGTTAACGTCAAACATAACTTTGGTTCTGGTATCTCTGGTGGATGTCAGGTCACATGACCTCCTCCCACAGGTTCCCATCTTTGACAAACGTACAGCGGGCCGTGTGAACCAGCCAGGGCCGAGACTTTTTAGCTGCATTTCCTGTAGCGCCACCTGCACGCAAAAAGACAGAACAGGAAATGGCTGCATGAGGTCAGTAAATGAAACCAATAGAAATATGTTGATTTAAAAGTCATTTCTGAAGACGCCGCCCCCATACTGACACTGAAAAACTCGTCAGTAAGCGCGTCACCAGCGATCCGGAGACCTGGACGCAGACCTGTACAAGCTGGCGTGAGGTGAGGAAAGTTTACACTCTCCGGTCCTTATTTCACCTGGCTGGCTCCGCCCCCTCACCCATCACCTGCTTTCTTATCAATACGTGCTCATTCATAAAGTGCCAGCTGGGTCACGGGACCAGCGGAGGACACCGTCCATCGATCCGTTTGTCCTGACGGATGTTCTTGCCCTGTTGGCTGTCACGTTTTTTTCTTAAAAGCGAGAGGAAAACACATCGGCTCAACAGCAATCTGAGAACAAACACAGCCTGTTTCTCTGAAGAGAGCAAAATCAGTAAACAGTTTCTACATTCAAGCATTTCCTGTTTTTAAGTTCAGACAAAAGGTTGCAAAGGTGTCAACCTGAAGGTTTCTTTCAGTCAGAATCACTTTTATAATCCTGTCGTGTGTTCGTTGTTCTTAGATTTAGCCCTGAGATCAGAAGTCATGTCAGTCTTTCATCATGTTTAGTCAAATTAATTATTTTTTTATCATTTCTTAGTCGACAGAATCTCTGAACATTTTTTTTTGTTTTGTCTAAGTCACCAATAAATTAGTTTACATAAACATTTAGTTGAATTTTAGCCAGTTTTGTTGCTGCTTCCACCTGACGGAACACAGACAGTTTGATCTGCTGTAAAATTCAGACATGCACCTTGTTAGATAAATGTTCAGAAATTTTAACAGGATGGCAGCGGGACCAGGTCGGACTGTTACAGTGACACCACACAAAGACATCATGTTGGTCTCATCAGAGTGTTGTAGAACACTTCTCACTGCAGTATTATTCCCTCAGAGCAAAGAAAACACTGTGAATGAACCCGGAAGACAAGACTGATGGCAGCTCTGTGATGCTCTGAGCAAAGTGTTAAAACCAGCATGCTAACATTACAGCTGAGGCTGACGGGAACGTCTGTAGTTCTGCAGATTTGGTCGTGAACCACATTTCCATCCAGCAGCTGCTGAACCACGGCCTCGTACTTAAACGACAAAATAGGCCGATCGTCGAGTCTCAGAAACAACATATTAGACCGTTTTCCTAAAACGTTGGCTAGGACCTTTCCAGCAACAGGTGAGCAAAGTCACCACAACAGGTGGTAAAGGTTGTAAAAAAGGTGGTGGTTTGGGTTAAAATAAGTACATTAAGTCATCATTCGCCTCCCAGCAAGAAGGTTGGAAGCCGGTCGTCCTGGACCTTTCTGTGTTGCACGTTCCTCCGTGTCTGCGCGGTTTCTCTCTGGGTGCTTCGGCTTCCCTCCACAGTACGGTGAAAAGACTGTATACATGGAGTTATTTTTCATTAAAGAAATAAACACCGTTTTCTGCTGTCGTGAGCATCTGTGGACCTGCAACGGGGCTCACGGGTCAGTTCCCTTCTTTACTGATTCTGCAGCGCAGCTGAGTGGGATGCTTCGAACTTCTAAAGAAACAAGGGGTTAAAGGCGGCGGGCCCGGGCAGCAGCCTTGGACGAGCAAACAGAGGATTTCAACATGTTTCCTGATTACACAGGCTGATAGTGGAGCTCAAACAGCCGAACAACTGACTGAACCCCAACCCAAGCTGATGTCACTCATTGATGAAAAACAATGACGGGACATTTACAGGACTGTTTTAGGAGGGAGGGGGTGCTGTAAAGTAAGGATGCTTTCAAAAATAGATTATATGTATTAACAAAATGCAAAGTGAGTGAACAGAAGAAACATTTAAATCAACATCTGGTGTGACCACCTTTTGCCTTCAGTTTCTGAAGGACCTCTGCAGGTGGGTCGGCCCAAACCTCTTGGAGAACTCCCCACAGTGCTTCTCTCTCTAAAAATATTTTATTCCAAATATAGACTCATCAGTCCAGAGCACCTGCTGCCATTCTTTGTGCACCCCAGTTCCTGTGTTTCCATGTGTGAAAAGAGTGGAGTCGTGCGGCCCTGTTTGCAGACCTGACTCTCCTGACCAGTACAGTGTTTCCTGCAGGAAGCATCATGTGCTGCCATAAGTTTCTGTGTCGACGGTCCTCAGCGTTGCCCGTTTCTTTGTGCTTCTTCAAAAGAGCTTGGACAGCACATCTGGAAACCCCTGGCTGCCATCAAATCTCTGCCTGGGAGAGACCTTGCTGATGCAGAGTAACTGTCTTCTTGCTGTGCTCAGTCTGGTGAATGACTCTGACAGTAAACTGTCTTCGGCGACCTTTGCTGTGAAGTTTGTAATGATTGTGTTTCAACCTACGTATTGAATTTATGATCATTGGCGCCTGTTTGCTTCATACACCAGAAGACGTGCTTACAAAATCCCTGACTTTGTGCAAGTGTACCTAGAAGAAATGTTTTTTCTTCTGTATACTCATTTTGTTAATTGATAAATACAATTAATCAATTATCAAACTAACTATGACTATAAACTATGTCTATTTATAAAGATTCTTGCATTTTTCCACACGTGCCTAAACCCTTTGCACAGCACCGTACCTGCAACTGAACCACGGATAAATAAGGACATAAACCCGCCCTTCACAACGTGACAGCGTGTCCATGTCTCTGGTAGCGAATCATCAGCTGAACCTGCAGCTTCTCGGCTTTAAGCGGCTTTATAGTGACTCTCGGCTGGTTGTTCATCTGTCTGGCTGCAGCTTCCTGAAGAAGCTTTAAAGAGCGACCGTACAGCAAACACAGAGCTAACGGACAGAGAACACGGGACTGGATCATGTTGCTTCATTGATCCCAGAGGGGAAACTTCTTGTCACAGTTGCTCATGTTTCACAAAATATAAAGGAATAGGATAATAACTGAATGTTGGTAAATAAAATATAAAGAAAGATAATGGACAGTATTTACTTCAGGCTATATGGTAGAAGTGTAATATGAATAACAATAAATATTGGTAATAATAATGTGTACAGATAGTGTTCCTATCCTTAAAGACTTAAAGAGAATATAGCACCTTGTTTTTTTTGTTGCAGGTTAAAAAGAGAAAACAGAGGAAATCGCCTCTGAAAACTTCGTCTGGACTTTACTGGAGCTGCAGCTGATAATTATTCCACTTATCAGTAAATGGTTCACTCTACAAACTGTCAGACGTGATGTAATATTCTTGGTGTAGTTGTCAGAGTGAAGTCTAATGTGAGCCTCTAACTGTGTTTGTTCAGACGACAGCAGGGGAAATAAAATCCCTCCTGGACTGTTTTTGTTTTAATGAAAGTGCTGAAAAGGTTAAAAAACAAACAAACAAAAAAAAACCACACACACACAAAAAGCACAAGATTTGGAAATCTCTCCGTGCTTTTGGATGCTGGGTGTTTGCAACTCTTGGTGTTGAAATCCCCGTCTGTGAGCTGAGCGTCCGGTGTTGCACCGCGTGAAAACGATCAATAATGGCTGAATACTTACTGACAGCGCTCCCCTCTCCGCCCAGCGCTCTCCCCTATATTATTAGAGTAAAGAATTTTAAAATGATCGTAAGGTCAATGTGACGTGACGTGACAGGGCGAACCTCTACAGTCCCGCTCCGTCTGTCGGAGTAAGCAGACCTCCACATGAACAAACAAGATTCATTAAACGGTATTAGTGGACATAAAGTCAGCTGTGCTGGCTGATGATCCAGCATCTCTACTGACAAACTCAAGCAATAAATAACTAAACTAATTTTACTTTCATCAGCTGCATCGGACCCGTTCAGACCGTTTATACTCTGGCTTGGCTGAATATTTAATGGTTAGTATTAACTGAGAGGTGTGCATCCATATTACCCAGCATGCTCAGCTAGTCAACATTTTAAATTCAATATGTAATCGGTAGTAAAAGCCGGTGCTGTGCTTTCCATCTTGCATTAGTCCAGAGGTGTAACCTTGACTGTCAGGACCGGTCTGATGAGCACATGCAGTTTATAAACACAGCTAGCCGTCGGTGTTGAAATGTAAAAAAAAATCTAAATCTGTCAGAGAACGCGACGCTGTGCGACCAAGAGAGGCGCTGCCCAGCTAACGTTAGCAACACAGAGTAGAAATGCACTGCAAGCTAGCTCGTCAGCTGAGCTTCCGGAGGGAGTTGACGCCGGACAGAGGACGGAACAAAAGCGTGGCGCGACTCGTGGATTTTTTTTGGTTCTGATGCTGGAGACGCTCTGGATCCACTGACCCGATCCTGGACATTCAGCAGCAGTTTAAAGCGTGACCGGACACACAGTTAGAAATGACGTGTGCTGTCACTTTCCTGAGGGGTAGTGAGGTCACTGGTTTCAGAGAGGAGGCTTCAGGTCGTTTCGCTCTGCTGCTTCCTGCTGATTAAAGAACGTTTCTCTCTCCGCAGGTTCGTCACAGACGCCACCGTCTCTCTGTTTGTTGCTGTGTTGTTGTTTGTTCTTCCCTCCGAGCCGCCGCCCTTCCTCTGCTGCTGGAGGCGGAGCTCTGACACAGGTAACACACACACACGGGGACACGAACGAACACACGGGAACACAAACACATGTTTCTGTGCTACTAAATATTTTTTATCCAGAGTCCCAGGTGTCGCGAGGCCCCGCCCCTTCTCTGCTCACCTGGAAGGTGACTCAGAAGAAGATGCCCTGGAACATCGTCCTGCTGCTGGGAGGAGGCTTCGCTCTGGCCAAAGGCAGCGAGGTGTGTGTGTGTGTGTGTGTGTGTTTTATTACACTTGTGGGGTCTGACAGGTTTGTGAGGACCAAAATGTTGGACCCCAAAAGTTTAAAGAGCCGTCTGAGGGTTAAGACCTGGTTTAGGGTTCAGATTAGACATGTTGATGGTTAAGGGTTGAGTTAGGGAATGAATCATGTCTGTGAGGGTCACAGAAATGGTAACACAAGGCTGTGTGTGTGTGTGTGTGTGTGTGTGTGTGTGTGTGTGTTGCCAGGAGTCCGGTCTGTCCCGCTGGCTCGGCAGTCAGATGACGCCGCTCCACTCCGTCCCTCCCTGGGCCATCGCCGTCATCCTCTGCCTCCTCATCGCCACCTTCACAGAGTGTGCCAGCAACGTTGCCACGGCAACGCTCTTCCTGCCCATCCTGGCCTCCATGGTACCCAAAACACACGTTTCCACACATACATCCAGGATGTCGGAGTGAGGGAGGGCGGGGTCAGCTACTGCACTTCCTGTAGATGTTTCACATTAAAAGCCCAGCTTGAGTGTTTTGAAGCCAAGCTAGCTGGCTGCTAGAGAGGACGCAGGTTTAAGTCGCCCCCTGCTGGCTGCTAGAGAGGACGCAGGTTTAAGTCGCCCCCTGCTGGCTGCTAGAGAGGACGCAGGTTTAAGTCGCCCCCTGCTGGCTGCTAGAGAGGACGCAGGCTTAAGTCGCCCCCTGCTGGCTGCTAGAGAGGACGCAGGTTTAAGTCGCCCCCTGCTGGCTGCTAGAGAGGACGCAGGTTTAAGTCGCCCCCTGCTGGCTGCTAGAGAGGACGCAGGTTTAAGTCGCCCCCTGCTGGCTGCTAGAGAGGACGCAGGTTTAAGTTGCCCCCTGCTGGCTGCTAGAGAGGACGCAGGTTTAAGTTGCCCCCTGCTGGCTGCTAGAGAGGACGCAGGTTTAAGTTGCCCCCTGCTGGCTGCTAGAGAGGACGCAGGTTTAAGTCGCCCCCTGCTGGCTGCTAGAGAGGACGCAGGCTTAAGTTGCCCCCTGCTGGCTGCTGGAGAGGACGCAGGCTTAAGTCGCCCCCTGCCGGCCGCTGGAGAGGACGCAGGCTTAAGTCGCCCCCTGCCGGCCGCTGGAGAGGACGCAGGCTTAAGTCGCCCCCTGCCGGCCGCTGGAGAGGACGCAGGCTTAAGTCGCCCCCTGCCGGCCGCTGGAGAGGACGCAGGCTTAAGTCGCCCCCTGCCGGCCGCTGGAGAGGACGCAGGCTTAAGTCGCCCCCTGCCGGCCGCTGGAGAGGACGCAGGCTTAAGTTGCCCCCTGCTGGCTGCTAGAGAGGACGCAGGTTTAAGTTGCCCCCTGCTGGATGCTAGAGAGGACGCAGGTTTAAGTTGCCCCCTGCTGGCTGCTAGAGAGGACGCAGGTTTAAGTCGCCCCCTGCTGGCTGCTAGAGAGGACGCAGGCTTAAGTTGCCCCCTGCTGGCTGCTAGAGAGGACGCAGGCTTAAGTCGCCCCCTGCCGGCCGCTGGAGAGGACGCAGGCTTAAGTCGCCCCCTGCCGGCCGCTGGAGAGGACGCAGGCTTAAGTCGCCCCCTGCCGGCCGCTGGAGAGGACGCAGGCTTAAGTCGCCCCCTGCCGGCCGCTGGAGAGGACGCAGGCTTAAGTCGCCCCCTGCCGGCCGCTGGAGAGGACGCAGGCTTAAGTCGCCCCCTGCCGGATGCTGGAGAGGACGCAGGCTTAAGTTGCCCCCTGCCGGCTGCTAGAGAGGACGCAGGCTTAAGTCGCCCCCTGCCGGCCGCTGGAGAGGACGCAGGCTTAAGTCGCCCCCTGCCGGCCGCTGGAGAGGACGCAGGCTTAAGTCGCCCCCTGCCGGCCGCTGGAGAGGACGCAGGCTTAAGTCGCCCCCTGCCGGCCGCTGGAGAGGACGCAGGCTTAAGTCGCCCCCTGCCGGCCGCTGGAGAGGACGCAGGCTTAAGTCGCCCCCTGCCGGCCGCTGGAGAGGACGCAGGCTTAAGTCGCCCCCTGCCGGCCGCTGGAGAGGACGCAGGCTTAAGTCGCCCCCTGCCGGATGCTGGAGAGGACGCAGGTTTAAGTCGCCCCCTGCTGGCCGCTAGAGAGGACGCAGGTTTAAGTCGCCCCCTGCCGGCCGCTGGAGAGGACGCAGGTTTAAGTCGCCCCCTGCCGGCCGCTGGAGAGGACGCAGGTTTAAGTCGCCCCCTGCCGGCCGCTGGAGAGGACGCAGGTTTAAGTCGCCCCCTGCCGGCCGCTGGAGAGGACGCAGGTTTAAGTCGCCCCCTGCCGGCCGCTGGAGAGGACGCAGGTTTAAGTCGCCCCCTGCCGGCCGCTGGAGAGGACGCAGGTTTAAGTCGCCCCCTGCCGGCCGCTGGAGAGGACGCAGGTTTAAGTCGCCCCCTGCCGGCCGCTGGAGAGGACGCAGGTTTAAGTCGCCCCCTGCCGGCCGCTGGAGAGGACGTAGGTTTAAGTCGCCCCCTGCCGGCCGCTGGAGAGGACGCAGGTTTAAGTCGCCCCCTGCCGGCCGCTGGAGAGGACGCAGGTTTAAGTCGCCCCCTGCTGGCCGCTAGAGAGGACGCAGGTTTTGCCTCCTTGAGCTACTGGCAGACCTTTAATGTGAAACATTTTAGCAGGAAGTTGCATTTTATTGACTTTAACAGCTACAGAATAACATAAAAGACGAGGAAACTCAAGTGAATGAGGTTTTTAAGAAAAGTTAACTTTTGATTTCTTCTGTGAGTTTTTAGTTTGTCTGTATCTTATCTACCTTTACTGAAGGCTGTTTTCTGTGTCCTGACTCAGTCCCAGTCTATAAGCTTGAACCCTCTGTACGTGATGATCCCCTGCACCCTCAGCGCCTCCTTCGCCTTCATGCTGCCGGTAGCCACGCCCCCCAACGCCATCGTCTTCTCCTATGGTTACCTCAAAGTGTCCGACATGGTGAGTCCTGTTAGGACGTGTCTGTGGCGGGGCGGGGGGGTATTCAAACCTACCCATGAATTCAGAATAACCTCTTCCCACCTTTGCGCCCCTGCAGGCTAAAGCCGGGATGGTGATGAACATCATCGGGATCGGCTGCATCAGCCTCGCCATCAACAGTTGGGGTCGCCTCATGTTCGACCTGGACTCGTTCCCTTCGTGGGCCAACGCCACGGCACCTGTGTAGGAGAAACAACCTGCTGCCTCATCCTTATTCACCGTTTTCAGGCTTCGTCACTCAACGTCTGGGTGGATTTTTTTGTATTCATACCGCAGCTTGTGACTGCTGGTTCTGAACCACCAGAGACAACGTCTTGATGTTTGGACCATCTCACTACTCATGTAGAACATGTTTCCCAAAGGTTTTGTTGTCAAGCTCCGGCTGTACGTCTGGCCCCGCCGCTAATTGGTGGTATTGTAAATCTCCAGAGCTGCAGTCAGAGGCGTACAGTCACATCTTACATTAAATTTGGTATTCAGATAATACTGATACCATAATAATGGCCACCATGAACAAGTGAAGGTCTGTAAAATAGGCCAGTTAAAGTTAGGGTTGGGTGTCAAGAACCGGTTCCAAGTCGGAACTGGTATCAAATTTCCCGTGCGTTTGGATTCTGCTTCTCGGTTCCTAACTTCCTGCATATCTCAGCTCCTGACTGAACTACAGTGAGCATTTTACCGTCCATTAAAGAGTCTCTGATCTGCCAGCAGCCGCTACGCCGACCTAACGTCACCTTATGTGTTCCGTCAACAAAGCCTGAAGAAGAGAGTCCTTCTGGTTCCGGTCCTGGACCGTGGCGGACCGCAGCAAACGCTCCAAAGTTTGACTCAACTTCACTAACAAACTGCACCAGCTGCAGTCAGGAGGTTCGGTGCGAGGGAGGAAGCAGCTCCGACGTGACGAAGCGTTTCCTTCAACACGGCGTGAATTTGAAGGAACGCTTCACCGTGTTCAACGTGTCGCGCTCTCCCAGATCCAGCTAACGCTAACAGTAGCAACATCTCAGGTACAAAACACAGATGAGCTGACGTTCACTTTTTATACTTAAGGGAAACCGACGATGGCTACAGCTGAGACGAGTCCCAGAGACGCCGCTCTAGGACAGAGACTCCTTTCACTTTAGAGACATTAAGGGGAGGAGGAGCGAGGAGGAAGATCAACGAGCGTGACAAGGGCTGGGTTTGAAACGGGCTAAACTGCTGTCTCAGCAGGTGTCTGAAAGGACAGCGAGGCATCGAGTGTTAGCTAATGCTAAAGCTTGGTTTATACTCCTGCGTAGGGTCTGCAGCCATGCATTTATACTTGTGCGTCGGTGTCTTCGTCATTCTGCCATTACACCCCCAAACGCTAGTCGGCGGTAGCGCTACAGCGTCCACTGTGGTGACCTTTACTGGCCGAGCAGGCTAACTTGTGGTTTAGCGCTCCGCTGATGTAAATAGGGGGTAAATTGTAAATGTGCGGCTGGTGTAGCCTTTTCAAATGTTACCGACCGAATGGATCACATTCTGATGGTGAGGTGAGTCATTTCGCTCGGGTTGCGACGGTCAAATATATTGATCCACCTTATTACAGCTGCCATTTTGGCCGCTAGTAAAAGTTAATTCAAAGCACGGGCACTTCCTGTTGGCTCGGTCCGCGGCGACTTGACGTGTAGTTACATTTTTGAGGAGGTGCACGTCAGGCGACGGCGTAGCCTCTGCGTAGCCCCGTAGCCTACGCCGTCGATTCGACGCAAAAGAATAAATTACACTTAAGGCTAAATGGCTGTTTATTAAGTTAGCGAGGCAACTGCCTTCCGTTTCAAACACAGGCTCGATATGTGGTGAACCAGAACCGAGATTCAATAAGAACCAGGTTCTATAAGTAGAATCATAATCGGAATCAATCACATTTAAACGACACCCAACCCCCAGTAACGTCCAGGTGAAGGTAAAATGTCTTCCACTGTAAACTCAGTCCATTTTCACATCACAAATTCCATCAGTGTCAAACACTGATACTGTTTGTTTCCACTAATTGATTCCAGTCCCCTCGACTTTGCTTTTTTTTTTTTTCGTCAACACTTCCCACGCAAATGTTTCACATTAAAAGAAAACATAAAGTCAAAGTGGTTGAGATGTTCAAAATATACCAGCTGCCTTTGTTTGCTCTGTTTTCTATCATGAGTCACAGATTTTTCAGTGACTGGAAATGGACATTAAGCTGAATTTATCAGGGAAACATGGAGGAACTCCAGGTTAGTTTGCATCAACAGCAGATCAGAAAACAGGCTAACAGGCGAAGATATGATCAAATATAAATCAGTGAAAGTTATAAAGAAAGCCCCGTCTGCTGATTCAAAGAAATACTCTGAGAATTTGCCTTTAGTTCCTCCTTAAAACTGGAACCTTTCATCCCAAACATTCAGTTAAAACCTTATATAAATATATATAAGATATAAAATCAGAACCATAGTCAAACCACTGATTGTGTTTTTCTTTCATCGTTATTTGGTCTTTGCTGGAGACTTTACTCACACACGACGACTCTTATCTCTGTGAATTTGAATTGTTTAAAGTAGTTCTAGAAAATATACGGTACGTTTTGTATTGTTTTCTATTTAAACAGTTTTTATTTAGTAAGTAAGTGAGCAAATGCGACCTGTACATACGTAAAGTTTTGTACCATCTTGTTGTTAACAGTTTTATTTGATGTTAATAAAAGTTGAATCTTTAAAGAAACGTGTGACATTAAACCTTTTGATTGTAAAATGACTGTAAAGCAGTAAAACTGCAAGTTGCACACAGCTTTGTATATATGTGTAACGGTCTTATTTCTATAATATTAATTTAATTATGAAGGTTAAAGTCTCATTAATTGACCTCTGACTTGTGTCTTACTTAAACCACTTATTTCCACGTCCTGCAGTGATTAATAGTAATTGACCTTATTTATTGCATTGATTTGGGTTCAACTCCTGTGAGGCTTAACGATGTTTTCTTGGCTAATGTACATAAAAGTCACAGCTACTGTAGCCGCACACATGGAGGCACATCAATTAAGGGTCAGAAAGTTGATCTTATCCTACAATCTTGCAAATATCTCGGGACGATTAGGGCCTCAAAACTTAACTTTGAAGCAAACCAGAGTTTTTTTCTGTTTGAGGAAACTGTATTTCCACTTCGATATTCCTGGTTAGCGTGCTGCTGGACCCTGCATGCCACGTGCGCACACAGAATAAACGTGTAAGTAAGTACAAATATATTTAGTGAACAAAAAACAAAATATCAGGTCGGGAGATCTGATGCCCTCCCTCCGCTTCTCTGCATCAGACCAGCAGACAGCAGCCTCTCCGAGCGCCTCCAGTTTACAGATAATTGGCCAAAAGACAAAAAATACTCGTCTTGTGTCTTGCTAACATGCTTAACTCGTGAGCTGCCATCTAATGAAATTTTAGCTAAGGCAATATGTCATGGCCATACAGGCTAATGTACTGTACACACAGGGGAATCCAGTAAAATTTGTGTCTAATAACGTCATCACAATCGCCAAATTAATATGCAAATTAGGCTTTAAATTATTAGACTTAAAACGTGCCAATTTGCATACATATGACACTGCAGGTAAATAGGATAAACCAAATAACTAAAGCACATCACCACAGAACTTCCTCAGTAAATGATTTACAGCACGAGTCTTTCCCTGAAATGTTGTGTTTAAATATGCAGATTAGCTTTTTTTGGTTAATATAAAAGACAAACAGACGGAGGGCAGTACAGGCTTAAAACAAACTCCATCTAAATCTGTATTTAGGAAGTTTTCTTTCCATCAGAGTAATAGAACCAAAATCACAAAATTGACCACTTCATGAAATAAAGTGTCCTTCCTTAAACGGTAACTTTAAATTTTCACATCGTAGGCTCCTCATCTAATAACTATCCATTCTGTAAGTTTGTTTTATGCTGATCTGTACGTGAAACAGACAGCCGTCCCTCAAATGTGAAACTGAGTATGAAACAATTGTGTGAGTGTGAGGAAATTAAAATAAACTGGTAAGGAAGTCGGAGTTGTGTTAATATATTTTGTTTAAAAAACATTTTTAATGAATAATTATGAGAAGTGCCCTTTTTTTGTATTTGAGCTCCTGACCTCTAAAATGTCCGTGCACATCCCTGCAGCAGGATGAACCACATTATTCACTTGCACTCAGCCAGAGACTGTGATCAGGCTAATTTTTGTTTTAAAAATAAAATTTATTTGAAGTATTTCACATTCACAACGCTTAACAGAAAAACCACATGTGAAACGTAATGTGTGAAAACGTGTTAAAATTACACATATGTTAAATATGTACTTTGCACATAGGAAACATGAGGTTTTGGAATATTTTCATGTTTTAATGTGGGATTACATGCTGCAACATGTTTCTTTCTCGTGATCACGTGTGGAAAAACATGGGAAATTCATGTGTTTTTTTCTGTTAGGGAATTAAAGCTCTTACAGCATTTTGTTACAGCAAAACACAAAGTACAGAATACTCCGAACTAGATGGAGAGATTATATCGGGATCCCCCAGTCAGATCTGGTTTATGTGGCTCGGGAGGTTTGGGGTCCCCTGCCGGAGCTGCTGCCACATGACTTAATACATCTTTTAAATACATTTAATTGAAATACTGACCGCTCTGAATACATTTTGATTAGACATGGAGGATGCAATTTATTTATGATATTTTATTTAATATGTTAACATGTTTTAATACACACTTAATTATATGTTATATATTAATGATCTAAGTTTGTAGAGGTTAAGTTCTGAGTGTGTAAATGTCTCCCTCCAGCGCTCAGAATTGGTTTTAAAATAAATTCTTTATTGTAAATCTAAACATAGTAAAAACACAGACCCGGGGTTGATATATAAACAAAATAAAATTAAAGTAAAATAATAAAAAAATAAAATAATCAGCAGTTTGGGGTTTGAAGGGTGCTGAACGGTTTCCGTAAATCAGCGTAAACGGCCGGAAAGAGAGTTGATTTCCGGCAAACATGGCTTCGCACTTTTGACGGCGGTGATTAAAAAGCAACAAAGACGAAACGCTCTCAGGTTTATTTGTGCGTGTTTCAGTTAAACAGCCAACATTATCATCTAAACAGCGTCAGTCTGCTCTTCTCAGGCCGCATCTGTCCCACAGCAGGCGCCATGGAAACAGGTTTGTGGCCGATGTTGTAGCTACCGGCTAATATTAGCTTGTGTGTGGAGAGGGAGAAACTCCATCAATAAAGAAGCGTCATTTAAGTTAAAATATCACCATATGAGCAGTAAATACCTGTTTAGAGAGGGCTGAAGACATTTTCTGTGTAGATTAGACTGACTTTTGAATTCGGCTAACATGACACCCAGACTGGCGTTACAACAGTATATAAATTATTCAATTCAATTGGTGTAACGTTAAGTTAACATGAAGTCACTGCAGACATCTTGCATCATCTGAAGGTGAACATTTAACTTTTCCGTCTCACTGAAGTGAAGTGCAGCTTGGTGAATCACCCGGCTGTTCAGCTGAGTGCCCACTTGTAATTAAGTGTTGAACAAAAGCAGCGTTAAATTGTTGGTTATTTGCATAGAGTCTGGTGCGTTCCATGTCGCAGTGTTTGTTTGTTCCATGCATTAACTTACACATTGTAAGTGTTTATGTACTCGTACGATTCAGCATGTTGATGGAGACATTGTTACACTGATATTTAGGTATTGTAATGGACTGGTTAGGTATTTGCCTCTTAGCGTGTACAGAGTGCCTGTTTCGAACTACATCGGAAATTGTGCATTGACGAACAGCCTTATTTATCAACAAAAATATGTGCGTTTGAACATGAGCTAAGACACTTTCTGAATAGCCGAGACTGATTCTTTAATTCGGCATACATTACATTTAATTAGTTGTTTAACTTCCAGTAGTCAGCTGATAAACAATAAAGCGCTAAAATGGCTATATATTTGAATAGAGTCTGGTGTGGTAACTTTATTTAAAAGACAGTTTCTCAGGGCTTATAAATGGAAAACTAGCAGTGCAGTGTTTCCATTCTAATGCATTTATTACATTAAACCTTTCAGTTGTTTATTCTGTATAAATACATAATGCAACTAATATTTATTCTAAGCGGTTTAAGACGACATGTCCACATTAAGAAGGTGAAAATGCAAACAAACATTTCACATCTGGAATGGAACCAGAGTGTTTTGTAAAAATCTGCATCACCGAAAATGTTGTCCGTTCTCTCCACAGCATCACGTTTATCGTCCTGTTGTTGCTGAATATTATTTTTACTGTTTGTGTTTTCTGGTGCAGAGGAGCAGGCCAGGAACCGTTTCCAGTCGGAGCTGGAGTTCGTCCAGTGTTTGGCCAACCCAAACTACCTGAACTGTGAGTGACAGCAGTCAACTGTTATATGTGTGTGTTTGCGCAGTGTGACTGTTAACAACTGTTGTCCACATACTTTTGGCCGTGTAGTGTATAGTTTCATAAGGTGTCCATGCAGCGCAGCTTTACCTGAATACTCAGAAATCCTGACTTCCTGTTTCTCTAGTTTTGGCTCAGAGAGGCGTCCTGAGGGAGCGACCCTTCATCAACTACCTGAAGTACCTGCTGTACTGGAAGGAGCCAGAGTACGCCAAGTTCCTCAAGTAAGACACCCTGCTGCGTATAGAACTGTTTGTGTCCAGAAACTATTAAAACCCGTCAGTGACTCTCTGCTGCGCTGGGTCACATGTTCCTTCATCACCATGAGAGCACACACTGTAGTTTATTCTGACTCAGTGCCACATGCACCGTCCTGCTGCCCCAAATACTCTCTACAGCGCCACATGTGGATTCATCCGCTGCTGAAAATAGTCCCCAAGAAATGCACTACTTCCTCCTGCTTGCTTGTTTGTTTGTTTGTCTGAGAGAAACCACTTTTAAAAACATGAACCAATGGGCTAAGAGCCACAGACAGGAAGTCAGACTCACATGATGTTGGTTTGAGTTTGAACAGCAGGCTGAGCCTTTAAGCTGCGGTCACTCTGTGCTGAAGTTTGACACAGACCTTCCAGATCAAACACCTTGATCGCTGCTGTGCTTTGTGATGGTCTTTCTTCATTCCCAGATATGACTCCCCCCGTTCAGCGTCTGTAGAAACCCGCCTCCTGTCTCTCCTCCCCCCTGCAGGTATCCTCACTGCCTGCACATGCTGGAGCTGCTGCAGTACGAACACTTCAGGAAGGAGCTGGTCAACGCTCAGTGCGCCAAGTTCATCGACGAGCAGCAGCTGCTGCACTGGCAGCACTACTCCAGGAAACGCACCCGGCTGCAGCAGGCGCTGGCCGAGCAGCAGCAGCCGCAGCAGCAGGCGCCGCCGCACGGCAACGCCACCGCCAAGTGATGTGGTCACTGGAGGTGGGAGGAGGACTGTCCATAGCTCGACTGACGCCAATATCGACGTTTGAGAGTTTAAAAACACGTCAGACAATATTTTCTTTTTGTTTCACAAACATTTTTGAGGAGGATCCCTGACATGTGGTGTGTAGAAGAAGAGCTGTGGTCAGGATGTTACTGAGTGGAACATTTACAGTGTCAAAATAAACAGGTCTGTGCTCTGTGGTGGACAAACCTGAAACAGAGCGACACTGATCCATCAGTGTCTACGCCGATGCTGATAAACCTCCAGCTTTTGGATCCAGTTAATGACAGAACAGGTGCTGATTGTGAGAAACCTGCACGTTTTGAACATCCTGTTGGGAATTAGAGAATGTTTTTTTGTTGTTGTTGTTGTTTTTTTTCCTGAAACAGAGTGACACTGGCGAGGAAAAGCGTCTGGTTGTCTTCAGTCACAGGTCGGCTCATGAAATTAGATACGGGGAAGAAAGCTGAGAATACAAACCCAGTAACGTAACCTCAAACATATCGATACAGAAAAGTCTCTTTTATGTAAGTCGATATAAAGTATGTGCACCGTGACCGTTTTATTTCTTATCTGTTGTTTTACAGCTGACAGACGTTGCTTTTTCCAAGCGGTTAGGATTTCTTGCCCTCTAGTGAGTTCTTATATTCCACGTTCTTCTTTCAAGTGTGTGGATCTGATAAAGGATTAAAGGTCTATTAAAACAACAAGAACATTATTCATTTTTATTCACATTTCTTCCTCTTGACCAATTCTACTACTGTCCCATTCTCTTTAACAAAAGATTTGACATTTGAAGCTTTAATATCTCCTTTGATTTTCACTGATGTGATGACAAAATTAATATTCGCTGCAAGTTAAACTCCTCATGGTCGGTGTAAACAGTTGTTGTTCACGAAAGTACAGACTAATAATGATTCATTCTAATTTTCTTTACACAATATGCAAGGGGACACGCATCTGTGACGGAGAATCGGGCCACTTTTTGTTTTGAGAATAGTCAGATGTGATGAGAAAACTCGATCCCTGGTCAACCGCTTATCCTGCGTACAGGATCGTGGGGTGCTGGAGCCAATCCCAGCTGACATCAGGCGACAGGCGGGGTACACCCTGGACAGGTCGCCAGTCCATCGCAGGGCATGAGAAAACTCTGTAGTTTGTATTTACACAGAATGCAGAAATAAATAATAAACATTTATTATGTTTATACACTTCATTATGCATTTACTTTTATTATGCATGTATTTATTTCAGCCTTATGTATTTTAATTATTTTTTTCAGCATTTTTGTTTATTTACGAATAATTTCTTGTCCCCTGCAGATTTTATTTTGAAAAAACAAATCGTACAAAACGCCTGTTTTAGTAGAAATAACAACACAAAGTGTAGTTTTTCTCTTTAACCACCACATCAAGTTAAATATTAGTGTACGGATAAAGTACAGGCCAACAGAGGTGCTCTGACGAAGTTTATATTTTACTTATTGAAAGTTTTGAAGCGAAATCGCTTTTATCCTGAAGGGCTCATGTCGGAAGTTACTTTTGCTGCATTTACCGGAAGAATCTGGACCAGGTACTATTCTGCTCAATACACCTGTGCCGCTGTGTGTAAGTGTAGCGGTGTTGTAACGTGAATCGTCCCCCCACCTAGCAGAAGAATGGCCGCACTGCGCCTCCCAGCGATGTTTCATTGAATCCCGCAGCGAACCAACGGTCGGTTCGTTACACCGGGACGCAGAACGTCGGCGGGTCTTAACTACGGTAACACTTCACTTATTGCTGTCGCTGTTTAATTCCAGTATTTTGTATAAAAGTGTCTCTTTTTCATCGGGCCGCGTAGAAAGCTACATAGCTAACTTGGCTAGAGTTTGTAGTCACACTCTGCGGACATGCGCAGTTTGACCTCAGGGCACGAATCCCAACTGTCACCGCAGCAGTGATGATTAGTGAGTTTTAATCAGACCGTAGTTAGCGTGTTAGTTAGCCGATTAACGAGATCAATAAAACAGTTTCGTTTTGTCCTTGGACGCTCAGAGCAAACCCGTTCGTTACTTAGCTTTAGTGTTTGTTGATTTTAATTTGTCGATTGATTGTTCTCCTTTTAAACAACACAGAAACGTTTACTTAATTTTTAAATGATCCTCTTTGTAAATGAGGTTTCGCCATCAGTCTCCTGCTGGCTCAAAGTCCAGACTGAAACTTGTAGGTAAAGTTATTTAACTGCTGGGTTGCACCAGCTTCTCCTCATTTAAAGGGTGTGAAGTCCACAGGAGAACTACCAGCTAGTTTGTAAGCTACTAAACTGGTTGGCACAATTACAATTAACTAACTGTGGTGCAAAAACAAATTAAGTTAATGTAAAATGTTACAGTTTCACCCTTACTGTGTTTAGTTCTGTGACATTTTCTAATTCACGGCTACCCTGGGGCATGTGTAACTACCTTGTTTAATTTTAGAATGGAAATATGGTAATATTTTACTTTTATAACTAGGCCGTGTTTTGAAGTTGCACACAGGCTGCTGCTGGTGTTAAGTTCAGGGTACAAAAGGTAGATTTATTTATCAGTTTACAACACAGGGTTGAAGTTAAAGAAGTCTTCCGGTGTCGTCCCCGAACTATACAATATAGTTCTCTACAGCTGTCCCTGAAGAAATCTAAAGTATTTGATACACTGCTGATTTTGCAGGTGTTCCTACTTACAAAGCACGTCTGTAATTTTTATCATAGGAACACTTCAACTGTGAGAGACGGAATCTAAAACAAAAAAAACAGAAAATCACGTATGATTTTTAAATAATTAATTTACATCAGAAAAGCAGAATTAATATTTGGTACAGAAACCTTTGTTTGCGATTACAGAGATCAGACGTTTCCTGTAGTTCTTGACGAGGTTTGCACACACTGCAGCAGGGATTTTGGCCCACACCTCCATACAGACCTTCTCCAGATCCTTCAGGTTTCGGGGCTGTCGCTGGGCAATACGGACTTTCAGCTCCCTCCAAAGATTTTCTATTGGGTTCAGGTCTGGAGACTGGTAAGGCCACTCCAGGACCTTGAGATGCTTCTTACGGAGCCACTCCTTAGTTGCCCTGACTGTGTGTTTCCTGACTGATCGTTGTCATGCTGGAAGACCCAGCCACGACCCATCTTCAATGCTCTTATTGAGGGAAGGAGGTTGTTGGCCTTGGATCGTCCAAGCCCCTTTGCAGAAAAGCATCCCCAAAGAATGATGTTTCCACCTCCATGCTTCACGGTTGGGATGGTGTTCTTGGGGTTGTACTCATCCTTCTTCTTCCTCCAAACACGGCGAGTGGAGTTTAGACCATAAAGCTCTATTTTGGTCTCATCAGACCACATGACCTTCTCCCATTCCTCCTCTGGATCATCCAGATGGTCACTGGCAAACTTCAGACCTGGAGATGCGCTGGCTTGAGCAGGGGGACCTTTTAATCCATGACGGCGTAGTGTGCTACTAATGGTTTTCTTTGAGACTGTGGTCCCAGCTCTCTTCAGGTCATTGACCAGGTCCTGCCGTGTAGTTCTGGGCTGATTCCTCACCTTCCTCATGATCATTGATGCCCCATGAGGTGAGATCTTGCATGGAGCCCCAGACCGAGGGAGATTGACCATCATATTGAACTTCTTCCATTTTCTAATAATTGCACCAACAGTTGTTGCCTTCTCACCGAGCTGCTTGCCTATTGTCCTGTAGCCCATCCCAGCCTTGTGCAGGTCTACAATTCTATCCCTGAAGTCCTTACACAGCTCTCTGGTCTTGGCCATTGTGGAGAGGTTGGAGTTAATACAGGTAATGAGTGGAGAACAGGAAGGCTTCTTAAAGAAGAACTAACAGGTCTGTGAGAGACGGAATTCTTACTGGTTGGTATGTTATCAAATACTTATGCAATAAAATGCAAATTAATTATTTAAAAATCATACAATGTGATTTTCTGTTTTTTTGTTTTAGATTCCGTCTCTCACAGTTGAAGTGTTCCTATGATAAAAATTACAGACCTCTACATGCTTTGTAAGTAGGAAAACCTGCGAAATCAGCAGTGTATCAAATACTTCTCCCCACTGTAGATGCATGACATTTGGCATGTGTTGCACATGTGAACATCACATCCTGTTTTCAGAGAGGTTTTGAGAAACCTGAATCTGCTACCTTTCTGACATAAACACCTGATCCTGGTTTGTGAACGTCCTTTGCTGGTTCAGAACTTGGTGGTGAATCAAGACACAGCTGACACAGATGATCAGGATACTGCTGGACTGATGTGTACAGGGACAGGACTTTTGGTTTCTGAGTAAGATGAAAACCTGGATACAAACAGCAGCTCGCTCTCTCTCTGTCAGTATCTGGATGATGTCGCAGCGTGTGGCGGTGGTCGGCGCCGGGGCCGCGGGACTCTGTGCAGCCAGACACATCCTGTCCCGCCCGAACAGCTTCACCCCCCCGGTGGTGTTCGAGCTCACGGACAACGTCGGCGGCACCTGGTGCTACGATGAACGCGTCGGGTCGTACGACAACGGACGGCCGATTCACAGCAGCATGTACAAAAACCTGAGGTATGTAAGTACATTTACTCAAGTACTGTACTTGTACAAATTTGAAGTACTTTTACTTTACTTGAGTCTTTTCTTTTCATGACACGTTCTACTTCTACTGCACCACATCAGATTACTACACAAATCTTATAAAATATAAATTTTTTGTTATAAATTAAACTTTCAACAGTTTATACAGTTAAAGATCAACGTTAAGTCTATTAATCACTTTTGGTCATTTCTCCTGTAAATCAGCAGATGTTTCAGATTTGCTGCTCTTCCTCTGAACGATTGTAATAACTGTGATGTTTGTTAATAACGTTGAGCTTTGGGCTCAAATAATCAGCAGGTTGATCCAGTATGAAAATAATCATTAGCTGCAGTCCAATATTAAACAGTTTAGGATGAACTCCAGCCACAGACTGTATAAAAGAAGTGGACCTAGCCGCCATGACGTCCCCCGTTGGTTTGTGGACTATCGTTTTGAAGCCTCAAGTTTGGCATTTCGCCACCATCTTGTTTTTTTGGCACCAGATCGAGCTAGCTAGCTTGGTGCATCTGTAATTCACGCTAACTGTGATATTAGCTGGGATGCTAATTTTGGCTAGTGACAAACAGGGTTAAAGGTCCACTTGTAATAATTCTGAGGATCTATTGACAGAAATGCAATATAAAATCCATAACTATGTTTTCAGTGGTGTACAAAGACCTTATATAATGAACCGTAATGTTTTTATTACCTTATAATGAGTCTTTTCTATCTACATGTATCGCAGGTCCTCTTACATGGAAGGACTCATGTTGCGGCGCCATGTTTCTACAGTAGCCCGAATGGACAAACTGCTCTACAGAGCGAGTTTTGTCAACTGGGTTAAATACGTAGAAGTAGGAGAAGTCGTCTGGTTTGTTAAAAGTAAGAAGAGAAGTGAACAGAGAAGTGAACAGAGTGTGTCGGCCACCTTAGCTTCTCCCATGTGCTTGGAAAGGGAGTGGTGAGTGAGACGTTGGTTGCAATTCACAACGCTCACCACTAGTTGTCACCAAAAATTTGACACTGAACCTTTAAAACTCAAAATGTACTTACTAGGAAAAAAAACAGCCGACTCCTGAGTGGGTCTTTTAGTACGGCCGAACGCTGAACAAGACATTTTTAGGACAAAATGTTGAAAT